TTCTTGTAGTGGGCTCTGTGCCCAAATCTTTTTCTTCTCCTTGACCATTTCAGTTAGTGTAATAAATAATACTGCTTCTTCCAAGGAATGTTTCCTGTCTCATTTCTCTGTAGTCTACTGTCGGTTTTGGGCATCTCTGTTTTTCCCAGCTAGCTGATATACTTCAATACTGGGGTTTGAGTTGGGGCTGCCCTGCCAAATACTTCAGGCAAATGCCTGAAGTATTTCTAAAACCTCTCTGAAGCACTGGAATTTGTTTACTTTTTAGATCCCCCTTTCCCAGATGTAGAATTTGTTGCAGCAAAAGGTTCTGCACCCTTGCTCAGACTCCGGAAAGCAGAAGATCGAAATGGACCGATCAGGTTTGTCTCTGTGTGTTCTTCACCGTTTCAAAAAACATTCTGTAGATTTATGGCACTTACATATTGGAACTTTTTGTGGGGGTTAGGTTATTTTTGTAAGCAATGTGAGGAAACGTAAGCTGTAACTCCCAGTTTCTCCTCCCTTGGTAGAGTAATATTTGGCTTCAGACTCTTCCTTGCTTTCTGGAACAAATTTCTGGTTTTATTAATACTGAGTTTTCACTGTTGGTTTTGGGTTTTTTTCCCCTTTATCCACAGTGAAGTCACAGATTTTTATTGATGGATCCAAGCATGGCTCTACCTGTGTAATTTTTGTTTTCTAACAAATTAATGCAGCCAATACTTTTTCTAGGAGACAGAGGAAATGGTGAATAATGTATTTATGCATATTCCAAAGTAGTGTTTTCGTATAATCATATCACAGAATGGTTTGGGTTGGGAGGGACCTTAAAGACCATCTAGTTCCAACCCCCCTGCCATGGGCAGGGATACCTTCCACTAGACCAGGTTGCTCAAAGCCTCATCCAGCCTGGCCTTGAACACTTCCAGGGATGGGGCATCCACAACTTCTCTGGGTAGCCTGTTCCAGTGCCTCACCACCCTCTCCATGATGAGTTTCTTCCTGATATCTAACTTAAATCTCCCTGCTTTAAATTTAAACCCATTAACCCTTGTCCTGTAACTGCATTAGGGTCTTAGTACCAAAATGTATTTCTAGAGAAAGAGGGTTTATATCTTACTAAGGGCAGTTTGTGACAGAAGGAAAAGGTAATCATAACTCCACGTTATACTAAAGAAGAAAATGTTTGAAAGCTAGTAATGTTTCAGGAAATTACTGGTGTAATAGCCGTAGTAATTAGTCTTCCTATGGTTGGATATCATAGGCTAAGCATTGCTTTAAGAGGTGTGAAGAGAGATTTGATTAATTTTTTATAAATGATATCTGTCCTCTCCTGCTTTAAACAGAAAAAGTCTTGTTTCTAGGGAATTATGAATAATTTCTAGAGGCCAATGATGTGTGGTTTCCCAGGTGAACTTATGTGTCAGATGAGAGGAGCAAGAGATAGCCTGCAGTAACAGGAGTTTGATGCTTTTCTGAACGTGATTAAACGTGAAGCTGGTGTGCAAGTGATGAGGAGAAACAGCTCTAAGCTGTGTATGCCGTGCTTTTGGTGCAAAATGCAATGGAACCCGTACACTTAGAGAAATATTTTGCTGCCGGAAGCATTCGTATTGGACATCAATACTAAAAAGCAGTTAAGAGGCTACCAATGGAATAGGCAATGTGAATGGATGAATGTTGGATGCTTAGTACATTGAAGTGAGAGCTAACATTTCCTTTTTTTGTTTCACTCTAGCCTTTATCAAGTGATTGTGCTTCCTCTGGGTTTGCAAAACACTTTTATTTGTGACTCCTTTGCTGCTGCAACTTTCTTTAGTAACACCACTGATGTTAAAGGATATGTGGCAGCTGAATTTCGGGCGAAGGATGTTGCTGATAACATGTCAATTGCTCTTGGAGACAGACATTACTACGGGAAGTTTTATAATGCTCCTTTAAAGATGGGAGAAGAGTACTGTGTTTTTTTGAGAATAATAAGTGAGTGGAATAAGGTAATTGAAGTTTTAAAACCTTTTCCTTGCACCTATTGAATGAAATGTTGCTGGGGAAAAAGTGGAAAATGCTAGCTTTGTGTTAAATGTTCTATGATCTCTTTCAATGATCTGTTGGTTGACAGAATTAGATTAAATCTGAAGCTCTTTAAATAACTCTTGTAATTCCCTACAGATATTTCTGTTGTTGTAATGTTGGAGCAACTCTGGATGCCAAAAGACAAACAATGGAGTAAACCAAAAATGAAGGGCCATTGCTGCCCTCAGTAATTGAAGGTGTCTTTATTGGGCCGGAATTTAGTGGAAGAGATTAGTATGAGAATTTGAAAATTAATCCTTAGCAATGAAAAATTCACCCATTTTAATTTTTAATCGAATGTTTTATAGCAAAATATTCCAGTTTTCCAAACGACAAGGAAAAATAAATTTTTGTCATGTGTGCTACCTTCCATGGAGCAATCAATGTCAACTGCAGGTCTCTTGGGAAAGCCTTGTGCAAAAAAGTATATTACTAGCATTAATGTTTTGTCATTTTGAAGTAAATGTGCGTTTTAATTAGAATGAAAAAGGTTCTGGAATATACGTATCTGTTTTTGTGTTCCAGGGACGCCCCCCCCCCCCCCCCCATTATGTCATTATGTCACTAGTTTTCCGTCATTACCCATCTCAGGGGTCAGCAGCTTGTAATTCTTTCACATTAGTCTCAGCAGTAGACTTTTTAGATAGACTTTTCATGGTTCTGAATGTCAAATGCATAACCAGAACAAAGCAACCCCTACTAAAAGAAAAACCCCACACCTAATCAGTGCCTCACCCTGCCACCCAAAACATTAAAATAGTGCTTTAGGGCTTTGTGCCTACAGCATGATGCAAGGGGGCACGCAGAAACTCAACTGTGAGTCACTTGTAAATCTCTACAATTTTGGAAGCTTACACCCAAATCTCAAGTAAGTTAAAACAGCTTCTATCAAGAAATGTAACTGTTGCGGTCCAAAGTGAGTGAAATAAACAAGTACACGTGATAGCTGTTATTGGTATCTACTGATCTGTGCAGCGTGTTTTGTGTGACATCTGCTTTGACAACAGCCGCAAGAAGTTTTTACAGCACAGATAAAGTGGTTTCTGGACCTGATACAAGTCTGCTGTTTGTCATACGTTTCCACTTAATCGTGTGAGGGAATAAGTAGGGAAGTGACATTTGAAGGCACTCAGTTCATAAATAATGTTAAATTAGCCCAAAGTATCCTGGAATCTGGACAACAAATTGTATTTCTTAGAAAAAATTAACCCTGTGGATCAGGATTGTTAATGAGTCAGATGTATCCAGGTTTAGCCTCTTTAAGCATTCCTAAACACATCCTTAAACACTCACTTTATGTATCCTTGGGTTTGATGCCTTTGTTTCCCTAGCTCCTTCCCTTCAGAATTTTCTGATGCTGGGGAACATTTCCCGCTGTTCCTGCTGCTGAGGCTTTTCTCGCACAGAACAGTGCAGGTTGCTTATGCATCTCTGCCAGCTGTTTGTTAAACTGCTTCTAAGTTTCTGCTTAGTTTAAGTAAACTGCTTCTAAACTGCTTCTAAACATTATTGTTTCTCTTTCATATTGTTTCATCTCTAGCACTGACGGATGTATTTTCTAGGCCACTGATTTAATGGAATATTATTACTGTTATTTGTAGAAGCTGCTCTTCACTTCTGTCCTTTTAGAAAGCATCAACTCCGTGATACACGCTTTCCTGTATGGCTTTTGCTACTTGATGAAGTATACAGAGTTACATACAGCATTTACAAATCATTACTGGGATTGCACCTACCAAACCGCTTTGGTTCCCAGCTCTGCTTCTTTGAATTAGACCCATGGCTCAGAAGTACTGGTTTATCTTCAGTTCTCATGGCCTTGTATTTCATGCAATTGTTGGTACTAAGAAGTTAAAGAAATTCAGAATTATAAATTGAGCGTTGCTGGGTTTTGAGAATTTCTGAAGATCTGATTATTTAAGTAACTGAATTTGGGTTCAAGAGTTAATATTTAGAAGTCTGCTTTTTTAATTGGCCCTCAAGTGTTAATACATGTGAAATCATCATTTCTGTAGTGTATTTTACATTTCTGTTTGAATACAGACACATTAGAAATATATATATTAGACTCCTAACTAATGTTCTCATTTTTGTACTTTGATGTTCTGGTATCTCCCAGAGTCCCTTAAGGCTCCAGACCCCTTCATGCTGAGAATGGTACAATTTGTACCATAGGTGCTGCAAAATTATGACTTTGTTGTGACTTTCTATTGCTATTATTCCTCAATGTACCTGACGTATTTTCTCTGTGGTAAGGGTGGGAAAATCAGTGCAGAAAAAAATGTGTAGACACAGTGAAGACAAGTAAGCTGTTCCATTTTATTGAGTCCACATTCATTTATCCTTTGCTCAGATTTGGAGGTCCTGAGAAAGGTGACTGCTGCTTTCTGTTTGTTTTTCAAGATGGAGGTTTTAAAACACTTCATTTCTGCAGGACATTCGGATGTGTTAAAAGGCTGGTCAGATGATCTGAGGAGATCATTCAGGATCTTGCTTTCTACAGGGAAAGCATTTAGGAAGGTGGAGATAATAGAAATTACCATTTTTCATATTGATGAATTTGGCAATTGGAATATAGGGATGATGGAGACCAGTGGAAGATTTGGGAACAAATGAAAATTTACTCTCATTATCATGACAACCTTATTAAGTAGAATAAATTATCCACTCTTGGAAGTGTCCTTCTCCATGAGGGATACTGCTAATTAAAGGACTCAAAACCATCTGGTACCTATTTTAATCTCTAGTGATTACTTTATGGATTCCATGCTGTGCAGAGAGCCAAGGCAAGTGAAGGGCAAGAACTAAAAAAGGTGTTTGGAGTTTAAACTTACCTGAGATTAATTTTTTTAGCTTTGCTTTTGATAGTGGCAGCATCAGCTTTTTTTGAGCGAACAGTTTGTGAGTGTAACAGAAATAAAGCAGGACTGTGAAAGGTGAAGATGACAGGCAGTCTCTTCTTCCAAAACGCTATGAGCTTTTTTGGAAAATTGGAATCAAAATGACTCCTGTGGTGGGACAAGTCTGTTAAAATTAGCCTAATAAAATGTCATTTAAGAAAAGTGTATGTATGCATGACAAAATGTGTTCTCTTTTCAACAGAACTCTCAAGTTTAACTACCTGTGAATATCCAGGTTGAAATAGGGACTTTGAGATCCATGGATAGTCAAGTATTTGGAGGAGTAATTTCACTGATAACTTTCTGGAAAGGTGCTAATTCACCAGAGGAAAGGATTTATAATTTGATTTATTATGAAGTGCATATCGGTGAACTTTGCTGCTGAGATTCCTGAGAGATCTGTAAATTCTCTGATAGGCAGAAGTGACTGATCTCTGGCAAACTAGAGTATCTCACAGAGGTAGCTGTTTCAAAATGAGGGCACTCGTGCTTCCAGAATCTGGTATTTGGCTGAGTGTTTGTAAAGAACACCCCGTGTTCTTTATTTTCCCTTTTCTAAGAGGATTTTCTTTGTCAGTGTTTTATCTTTTAAAATAACCAGAAAATTCCTTAAAAAACGTGAGTTTAAGAAACACCGAGATTCCACAATTCAGCATGCGAACTCACAAAAGTAAGATTATGCATACAAATGTGTCTTTGTCCTTTTGTGTGAATGCTTCAAAGTGTAGCCTTCAGTTTCACAGAAACATACTGTTATTTAGAGCAACATAATACACACTTTGCCAAAACACGAAAAATATGTGTGTGTATTCCGTGAAAGTTCGTGAAAGTCATTTAACAGGAAAGTACCTGTAGAAACACTACAAAAATCGACTTCACAGTAATTAGACAACAGGCCGTAGAACTTAGAATAGAACTTCTTGTGTGTATATGAGTGTGAAGTGCTGGGGGAAAAATGCCCTACAGGGACCAAAGCTTACTTTAAAACAACCAAACTTGTCTAAACGTCTGCAGAAGCAGACCTCTGGTAAACATTTATTCAAATACTGTGCACGTTAACTACTGTAATTATTCTATAAAAATTGTTTAACAATACCAAGCAAGATGTCATAAGTGAAAAAATCCTGCATCTAGTATTTGAAAAACATGCCATTAAGTACTATAATTTAGCATATATATATTGTAGATGGGAGTAGAGTTAATAAAGCATATTCAGCCTTACCTTAGCATTTCATAAATTCTGAGTTCTTATCCAAGCAGCTTCAAAGATCTTTCCATGTTGCTTGCATGCCTAGTTGTAGAAATTAGGGAAGAGTGATGATCTAAAAGACTAGAGCCAGCCTTTCATTGAAGGTCTATATCTAATCTTGTCTTTATAGTTTCTAATCTTTTCAGACATGCTAGAGGCTGTTACCAGGGGAATAACAAACTCCACTCCCAGTAGTAATAAAATACAGTATATTGTGGATGATTGCTCTTGCAGAGAGTATTAGTGATAATAAATATCTCTCATGAGAAACAGTGATTTTTATGTTTTCGTTTTCAGGTGAGAAGGCAGTCCTGTGCTGCTTGGGCACAAATTAAAAGTAAGTCAGTTTTTCCTTCAGTGAGAAAATATAAGTTGTCATGGCTTTGCTTGGAAGCATAAACCAATAATTGATGTGGCTACTTCTTCATTTGTCATTAATGGTCGGTTGACTTGGAGGATTGGAAAGGTTAGAGGCAGAAAATTTGCCTTGCACTTCGGTATTCCATTCTAAATACTACTCTTTCTATGCATCACATCCAAATCTTTACAGCAGTTTTTGTGCACAAAGGACTGAGGCACAGAAGATGGGAAATTTTAGAAGCCCGCTCTAAGATAGTTTTATATTGGCTTAAAAGATTTTAAAAAAAAAATATTCAAACTATTAGAAGCCACATTATTTATTTTGGTATGTTCAGGTAGTCCTTGGAGAATTAAGTCCTTTTATGAACTTAGAAATATAAAAGACACCATGCAAAGATGAACATGGTTAATTTTTGTACTTGTAAGTACAGTTTCTTCAGAGTGTAATGTCATAACTTTAAAAGCCAGTGAATTTCTCAGCATAGTTTTATCTTTTCTTTTCGACTATAAAATGTTTCCAGTGAATGAGTTTACCTCAGAGGAGTTTGCAATCCACTACAGATCTAGTTTCCTTCCTTTCCACCATGTCAGAAAGTACTCTATTCACCCATTTCGGCATGTTTCAGCAAAATGCAAACATTCGCCTCTCCTGACAAAGGAAGTGGCACCACTGGTGTCCCCTACAAACTCTAAATTCTCTTTTTGAGTTGAAAGACTCATTAATTGGAGTTAGGAAGTGCAGTGAGACAAGCACTTTGGAATGATAATAAATCATGTGCATGGAGTGCTTGAGGTACATCTCCTCCACTGTCCAGAAAACCCATGTCCAAATAGTGCAGTTACTGATCTGGTGACAACTGTGTGTTTATTTCTAAGTTGCCTTTTGTTGTTTACTCTTGTGACCTAGTTCATTTACTGCCACAGTTAGAATATAATTTAGGCAGTTTGTGGTTGTGGAGGCTCAGCTGAGATCAAGGACTCCCTAGGTCTGAGGGCTGTATTGCTACAGCTGTCTAGGCAAGTGCTGTAAAATAACTCTGGAATGACAGAAAGCTGTCTTCTTCTGAATTTATCATTTATCAGCTTATAGAGCATCATCAGAATCTGTCTTACATATAGGTGGATTTTGGTTTTGAAATTAAAAGAATGGGCATTGGAAGATGGGAGTGGGACAAGTCAGAGCTCTGACTTTCTGTTGTAAATCCATTTGCCTTTATATTGAATGGAATTCTAGGCAAACAGTATTCTTGGCCTAATGTACTTCTGCAGCTGGAGAGGCTGAGTATTTTTGGCTCACCCCTTTCAGGAGTATTTCTTAATTCACCTTGTGTGGCAGACAAAGCTACACATTGTATGATAAATCATTGTCAAAAAGTGGCAGAAAGCTATTAAAACCCGCTTCCTTCTGTCACAAGTACAACAAATTTTAAGGGATTTTCACCAAATACACTCTAAAATGTGTAGACAGTTCTGTCATTTCTATGGAGGGCTGACATCTGCTCTAGAGATGCATCACTTGCTCATGGAAACTGGTATTACAGTGATACAAGGACAGGTATAACTTTTAGCAAAATTGAACATACTTCTAGGTTGAACAGATTTTCCTCATAGGGTCATTGTCTGAAATTCTTTATTTTGCCAGACTCACTGTAAGTTTACGGGTGAGTGGTGCTGTACAGATTCAAACTTTGCTTCACTAAGCAGTG